AGCAAGGTAAAATGGGAGAAGAAAAGGTTTTTAAAAAATCCCCCAAACTAAAACTAACTGGACTTTCTAGAGGATTTTTCTTACAAATGTTCTTGTTTTCCTCTTTTTAGTCAGATGGTAATATTGCACCTCTCCACTAATGTTGAAGTTATACATTAATATATAATTTATTTGGCCAATGGCATGTGTGGAGAAATGCTGTATTTCTGAATGATAGTTTTAAGAACCAGTGAGGAAATTTCTATGTTCCCTTCTCCTGCCACAATTACTATAGTGACACATATAGAAGTGTAGCCTTGTTCATCCAGAATCTCTGAGTGCACTCCCCACCGAGGATGGATATGAAGAGTAAGCAAAAAATAAGCTATTGCACTAATCCACAGATACATGGGGTAGTTTGTTACTGCAGCACAACCTAGTTTTACTAATTAATATGATTCCTCAGATTTACTTCAGCTAGTATTTCCCCAAATAATAAAATTTCCTCTCTTTATGTGAGTGGGAAAGTGATGAAATTATCTTTCAGCTGGCATTTAAAAAATGATAGAATGGCCTATTTAAAAAAAAAATTGCCTCTATCTCTAAGCTGTTCTTTGTAAGCAACCAGATGCATATAAAAAACACCTTTGAAACTACATGGATGATAAAACTTTATATTCATCACACGTTTTACTTTGTGGTAACATGATTGATAAGCATAACAAGAGCAATTAAGAAGTTCTTACTCTAATTAAATGGAAAGGAATTATCAATGCAAGGATCATCACAGGAAACTGATTTTAGCCACATTTTGAAACTGATCAATTGAACAGCTGTGCTTAGAAATGAGCATTTTGTCAGTTACCTTAAAGTGATTGACTTGCAGCTGTTTTCTAACAATATTGAGTTATTTACTCATCCAATAATATTATTAAGAGGCACCTTAAGCACTGTTCTTAGAAATGGAAAATATGGGATAAAAAGTCACATATCCAGCCCTTAAGGAGCCAACAATGAAGTAGAGAAGAAAACAAAAATCTCGGGCCGGCCCAGTGGTGCACTCGGTAGAGTGCCGCGCTTTGGGAGCGCGGTAGCGCTCCCGCCGAAGGTTTGGATCCCATATAGAGACCGGTACGCTCACCGGTTGAGCGCGGTGCAGGTGTGACACTGAGGGTTGCGATCCCATTACCGGTCATGAAAAAAGACAAAAAAAAGGAAAAAAAAAAATCTCCACCAAGAGGCAGTTTTACAGGGCAGAAAGTACTCACTATTATACGTTATGGAAGAAAAAATACTCTGTGATCTTAGTGCTTATTAAAATCACTATCTAGATATTACAAAGAACTTCATGGAAGAATATAAGACATTTAAGTAGAATTATGAGGTACTAAGTCTTTTTTTCCCACATATGTACTGTACTCTATTGATTTCCCTTATCACATACAAATTGAGATCTGAAGTATGCCTAAGACCTTAATGGCTGCAGTCTTTCCTGCAAACCTAAGGAGTATGGGAAGAGGGAATTGAAGAAACAATGGGTAAGAGCAGGAAAGAAGAAATATAAGAAATAGATTCATACATATGCACTATAGGGTCAGCATAGGAGTATATGAATTTAGTTTGAAAAGTGTTGAAGTGTTCATCATTCTGATTTGTAATTATTTTTCACAGACTTACATTTCATCACAGATTCTGTGCTCCATGAGCTTGGAGTTTTCGTCATTTATCCCTGTGTTCCAAAATAGTTTAGCTCAGAGTAGCCATCCAAATGCAAGAAGACCCTGGCAGCCATATTTTCCTGGGTCAATTTTCTTGCTAAAAGCCCAACAAAGCTGGATTCTTAAGAGCCATGATTTTAAAATATTTCTGTCTACTACACTGAATGATTAGTAACAATTAGAATTAGGCAAATGTCTTAGTCTGTTAGGGCTGTTATAACAAAAATACCATAGTCCATGTGGCTTAAACAGCAAACACTTATATCTCACAGTTCTGGAGGTTGGAGAGTCTAAGATCAAGGCACTAGCAGATTTGGTGCCTGGTGATGGCCTGCTTCTTGGTTCATAGGCAGAAGTCTTCTTGTTGTGTCCTAACATGGAAGAAAAGATGGAGAGAACTCTCTAGGGCATCTTTTATAAGGGCATTAATCCTATCCATGAGGGCTCCACCCTTGTGAACTAATTATCTCCCAAAGGTCCCACCCCTAGTATCATCACATTGGGGATTAGGTTTCAACAAATGAATTGGCAGGGGTAGGCAGAGCACAAACATTCAGTCCATAGCAGAAAGTCTTTAAGGAAAACAGAGAGAATGGAAGGGCATATATATATATAATCTTCCATGATTCTGTTGCTCTAGATTAGGATTTCTTAACTTTTTAAAATGTTATCAGGCTTTTTGGCAATCTCATGAAGCCTATCGTACTTTGAAGAATAGTATTTCTAAATATATAAAATAAGATGCAAGAGTTAAAGAATATCTCAGTCTGCTAGAGCTGCCATAACAAAATACCACAGACTGGAAAGCTTAAAAAACAGAAATTTATTTCTCACAGTTTTGGAGCCTGGGGAGTTCACCATCAGGGTGCCACCAGGTAGGTTTCATTCTTTTCTTGGCTTGTAGGTGGCTGCCATCTCACTGTGTGGTCACATGACCTGTTCTTCATGTGAGCATGGGGGGTGAGAGAGAGAAAGCTCCCTCTTCTAATGAGTACACTAGTCTTATAGGATCAGGGCCACATCCTTATGACCTCATTTAATCTTAATTACCTCCTTATAGACCTTATCTCCAAATGCAGTCTTATTATGGGTCAGGAGTTCAATGTATGAATTTGGGGGAAAACAATTCAGTCCATGGAACAGAAGAAACTAATATTTCAATAAATTATCAGAATATTTTAAATGAGTAATATAGTAATATGTACTTCTTCATTAACACAATGCATAATAAAATTAATGGTGGAGCTAACACCTACCATACTTTAAAAGTATGGATGAACATAAATAGTATCTGAAGATATGTGCAGGAACTTAAGTATGATATAAACATGTCTGTAATTATTTGGTGACCAAGTCATAGCAACAGCTAATACTATTGTGGTTTGATTTAAGTTACTATTAAAAGTTAATAGAAGTCAAGATAGAATTTTTCCCCATTCTAATTCACAGATGCGCTGTCCTTGGATGTCAGGTTAGAGTCCCTTACTTTAGATTCTTCTCAACTGCCCAAGGGCCAAAGTGGTACAAAAAGCAGCAAGGATCCCATTTTTAATGCCTCCATATGGCTACTAGGTCTTTTTCTGAGGAAGTCCTGGATGTATGGAGGACAGAATGAATAAACTTGATACTCTTATATTCCTTTCCATGATGCATCAAAAACTATACTAGAGCCAGATATTCTGCTATTTGGTTTAGATACAGCCCAAAATGCCTGCCCTGGAGGAACTTCCCAAGGGCTTATGATAAAGCTATTCCCAACCCTGTTGGTAAAGGCTTGAGTAAGAAGACTGATTTATACATTCCCTGAAGGGAGCCAAACCAATGCCATGTTGAACATTTTAGTGTGAAAAAGGCTGCTCACTACTGCTGCAGAGAGAAACAAAATATCACTTCTTTATACTTCAAAAGAAGGTTCTCCTCCCTGACTCTGGCCCACTGCTGGATTAGCAAGAAATATTACAGTGCTTGATCTATAGTGTTTTAGATAATTTTAGCTTTGTGTGATAATATTTATTCCCTAAGACCAAGGATTTAAACATATTCCCTCTGCCATAGCTTCAACAATAAACAATGAGCATCTAGGAAGAAGTAAGCACGGACTGAGGTGCAGGGAGTAACAAAAAAGTAAATGAGTTGTTTCCCTTTTTGCTTTTGGCACATGAAAGATACTGGTTTTGTTAAAAAGTGGGGTTCATCACTGTATATGTAGATTCAGGAAAATTAATGAGGTAAAACATAATTTCCCCAAGCCAAATTATTTTCTGATGTTGTTAGTAATCATGATAACCATTGGTTTCATAAACAAATCAATACAAATTCTTAGGTCTACAAAGTTTTCTTTTTGACTTGATCACAAACACATAGGTAACTCAATTTTTCTTGGTTTGGAAGTGTTCTTGAGGATGAAGCAACTCTTTAATTTCTTCAAAAGGCACTTTCATTACTTGTTTCGGACAAAATAGGAGAAGAAAAGAAAAAGGATATGAATCCCAAATTGCTCTGCTTTTCTACTCACTATGATAAAACAAATGGTTGATGTACTACAGATTGCAAGTTTTGGACAAAATAAGGCTTGCTGATTATCTGGATTTTAATCAGACATTCTACCCAGAGCTCCATTATCAAAGAGATGGCAGTGAAGCTGTACATTGAGACATAATAAGCATTCTTTGTTATTCTTTTCACTGTGTGTACGTTATCACCCGTAAATGCTAAATGTCCTTCTATTTTGTCAATAGCAGTCTGAAAGTGTCTATCAAATGCTCAAATTGCATAAAATATTAAACGTTCTTTATGTTTAAAAAAAGGTGTTACTAACACTGCTGACTGTAATGCCTGAGAGTAGAATTAAAATACAGAATAATTACTAGAAGTGGCAAATAATCTCATTAAGAGTGTGATGTAAAGAAAAGACAGTGTTAGTTACAAAAATCAAACAGAGAAAAGGAATGGCTATGTTTAAAATACTGTTATTCGGAAATAGTCAATATAGTTTTACAGCATCAAGTTCAGGCAAACGCAGGTGGCAAGGTGAAAAGGTGGGGTTTAAAATTTAAATTAAAAAATACATTTAAAAGAGAGTGATGGAAATACGGATGATTGTTGGTTTTCTTTTTGTGTTTTTCTATTTTCCTAAATTTCTAAAATGATATGAATATCAAAAGATATTTCAAATATATTTGTGGTCTTTACATACCATATTGGGATAGCCATAATTCTTAGTGCTCTTCTAGGTTAAATTAAGACAGAGAGTTGTTTTTGAGTTTTGTGTTATTGATGCTTTTCCATATTTTCCTGTGACAGTGCTGATGGGATTAGCAGTGGATGTGATACAGCTCAAGGCTATGCCCTTACCTCAAATGCCTTCAAAACCTGTAAGTACTTTAAAAAAAAGAATGGCTTTCATTTGTTTTCACATCTGATTTTTATGTACAAAGCATAATATGAAACGGAATATTCAGAAGGGAGTGGTTCTGACAATAGGAAGAATGTCAAACCTAGGGACTGCTGGCCTGGTGGGAGTCTGCAGGGTGAGTCCTCTGCCTTTTCTGTTGATGACCCTTTTGAGGACCCTGCCCACACCTCTCCTTTCACTGCTACATCTTAGTTCCCTCCACTGTACAAAAAAAAAAAAAAACATGTTTAGATATATGGCCTTTATGTCTCTTTTGGCTTAATCTGTTCAAACCTATTTAGGTGACAGATATTGCCAAGTTTAGAATTGTAAGGAGAACATAGGTTTACTTTGTTGTACGGAATAACTATAGGTCTACAAAAGATGGATAGAATAATGATAGAAAATGGATATAAAAATGTTCTGATTATTTATAGTTTCAGATCAACCCACTCGAAGTGTAGTGGTATAAAATGACAAAAATCAATTATGGTTATTATGTCTGACACTTCTGGGGTGACTGGGCTCAGCCGGGTGACTCTAGCTCAGGTTCTGTAATGCAGTTGCCATCAGAGGGAGGCTGGGGCTAGAATCAACTCAAAGGCTTCCTCACACACATCTGATGGTCAATGGTGCCTTCTGCCTGGGACCTCAGCTGGAGCCATTGGCCTGGACATTTACATACGGCCTCTCCATGTGATCCAGACTTCTTCATGATCTGTCAGTTAAGTTCTAAATACAAGTGAGTCAAGAAAGAGAAAGAATTAGGCAGAAGTGGCATTGTATTTTCTGATCTAGTGTCAAAAATCACATTACTTCGCTTTGTTGCATGCTAGCACACTATTTGTAAGGGTCAAGTCATTAAGTCTGGCCCACCATATCACCACACTCAAGGCAGTACCAAATAACTTGTAGACATGTTTTAAAACTACAGATATATAGCAATCCTTTATTTGCAGTTCAACTTACCCATTGCATCCTATGAAATATTATATAATCCACAAAAACTTGAAGATTCTTGGATGACCACTTTACTACATATATCGAGGCTAATTTTAAACAATAGTGAAGTTCCCTGTTTAAGGAAATTATTTATTAAAGAATCATTAATAGAGGGTCCAAATTATGCATTTTGTCATATTGAGCTTGAGCTGGGGTCACCCACACTTTCATTAACGAATGCGTGCATCATCTTCTAATCTCATGTGCCAATGCTTTGAGCATTTTTTTATTGACCCCAAAGCTTTAATTACTGATTGATATAGCTGCTTTATTTGAACAGCACTTATAAAATTATGTGTCAACAAGATCTGTGTCATGTTTTGGTAGCCATTAAGTCCAATTTCGTCAAAGAGTTCTTCTGCTCTGCACGTACTGTTCACCTGGGAGTGAAAGGAAGTTCAAGCCTAAAGCTCTACTTTCTTCCCTTTAACATGCACATGCGCTACTGTGTCATCATCCTGAGCAACAAAAAGGTGAGAGTAGAATTATGGTCTGTGCTTTCATCGTGGGCTGCTACCTTAATGGGGCAATCAGGAAAGGCAAATTGAAGGCAGCCGGAGACTCTAGAAATGTAGATAATTCCAGCTCTGAATTTGCTAAGCAAAGAGCTTAGCCTCAAGGATATCTAGAGTTACACTAGTTTTGGGTAAATTTTATAAGGGATTCATAGGGACATCCCATGAAAGCAGAATGGAGGCATGCCTAACCTTGCTGAGGTTATAGATCCTATCTATAGCTGTGCAACAAATGACCACGCATGAAGTGGCTTAAAACAAAATGTATTTATTATCTCTCAATGGGTCACAGGACCAGACATGACCTAGATAGATCCTCTACTTAGAGTCTATCATGTCTTCAATCAAAGGATCAATCAGCACTGGGTTCTCCTCAGATGTTCAACCGAGGAAGTATCTGCTTCCAAACTCCCTAAAGTTGTTGGCATAATTTGTTTTCTTGTGGTTCTGAGATTCATGCAGCTTGTTACCTCAAAACCAGCAAAGGAAGGAGACAGGGAGAGGTAGAGTAATGAAGGGAGAGAGATATGAGAGAGAGAGAGAGGCTACCAAGAGAAGTTTTATAGCCTTACCCACTTACAGAAAGACACTGCCATATGTTGACCTGAGGAGGGAACTTATAATCCCTAAGTTATAGCCCTAAATGTATCAATTATGTGTTCTTTATATTGAATGCATATGCAATGGAATAATGGTAATTGGAAACTGGTATTGTACTTAACTGGTGTTTATAGAATCATTTACACGAGAAAAGTAATATAAGGGCTGTCTAGTTAGCTCAGTTGGTTAGAGTATGGTGCTGATAATACCAAGGTCCAGGATTCCTTCCCTATACTCTCCAGCTGCCAATAATAATAATAGTAATAATAATATACCTTTTTAAATATGTAAAATATAGTTTAGTTTTACACTTAAAATTAACACTTAGGAAGAAAAATATACCTTTTTATGGTAATGCTTAATCTTGTTTTTTATGTCCTTTGAAGGTGTTCAGGATTTAACTAAATTCCTCTAAATATAAAATTTGTGAAAAATAATAACTAGTGAGACCAGCAGTTTGATCAAATGCTTCAAAATCCTTTTTTTATATTAATTTATAATATAACCCCAGAAAATACTAGAGTTAATTCTCAATAGCATAGTAATGAGGGTGATTTTATTCTTTGAATTAGACTATTGGAATATTAATATTTGATTACATAAATTTAATCTAAATTAATCAAGATACAATTGCACTTAACTTGGCATCTCAATTTATTGAAACACAACTTTTGATTACATATATTTTGCTCTTGTTAGAGTAAACAATAAAAAAAGCAACATTCTTGAAATTATACTGCTATCAATTGAGAAAGAATGCCTTCAATCTAAAGGACTGCCTGAATTACAATTACTTATGTGAAGAAACACATCTATTAATTTACACATTCATTTATATTGCTAATTATATTGAAAAATGCAATTACATGCTTAAATAGATAATCAAACATCGAAGCCCACCTGGTCAAGTCCTGTTCTTACTAAATGAGAGATAACTACTTTGCTGTTATGAACCACCTGTTGAAAACTGTAATGAGGAGGCATCTATTTGACAATTTTCCATGTTTAAAACAGAAACATTTCTACTAACATTGCTATCAAGGAAAGGCCATTTGCTTCATTTTGGCTGTTCCACTTGAACTTGCAAATAAAAAATGAAATAATTTATGTAACAATTGTTTGAAAATAGAAATAGTTTTACAAAACTTTCATCAATGTGGAATAAGTCAGATTAAATGAATAAATCTTAAGCATAATCAGGAATTAGTCCCTGAGGAATTGCACCTACTGGGAGGAGGGATTGATAGACCCCTTTACAAAGCACACAAACTCTGCAAAGCCCACCAGGTGATGTATTGACACAACCCTGGGCTCTGTCTTCACTGTGGTGCCCGGCATGTGAACGGTTGCTCTGTCTAGTCCTGGGTTCCCAAGTAGGAAAGCAATAGACCTTCCTAGGTTCATCTGTGTGAGTGAGGCAGGCAGGGGCATCAAATAAGGACCTTTGATCTAGGAGCTTGGTTAAGAGTGGCTTCTAGTTGCAGCCACTTGCTGTGGGTACAACCAGCCCACCCCCATCAACCCTTGGGCTTTCATTGAGGCAACCTGGGACCCCATTCCCCTTGGTAGATTTGTCTTTCAGGCATTTGTTGTCCTCTTCTGTCTACAAACCTTGGTCAGAAACAATTGAGATGATAGTCCAAGCAATGCTGACTTGAGGAAGCTGGGATGGGAGTCAGCATCCCTGAGCAACTTATGCCGACTCATCCAGCCCCACCTCAGGGCTCCACAGACCAAAGCGAGTTTCAGCCTTGCCAACTCAAGCTAAAGTCAGCATGGCAAGTGTGCCCAGCAGGTAGAAAAACAGGCCTTCTTCTTGATCTATGGCCTACAACAATTTAGTCTAACGCTACTCCATACCGGTTATTAAATATATTGAATGTCACTCTGACCATCTCTCATATATTTACATAAATAAATGGGTCCCCTTGTCTGACTCTCTGCGCTGTTGATCATTTCATTTACTCTTAGTCCTTGCATCTTTCTGTGCATAGATTAAGCTGGCAGTCTCTATTATGTATAATTTTAAATATTCTACAACGAATGCACTTTTTTCAATCATAATTAGTATACAAAATTTAATAATACTAATTTTTGCTTGAGTTTATTGAATGTGAAGATAGACCATTAACTTATATTATGCTAAAATTTTATGTAATTTTACATTTAGGCAAACTAACTTGAGTTTTATAAGGAATATATTTATAGCTCAAGGGACTGAGCATTATTTGAAGGTGTTTTATTTTTAGTTTCCATGATTTTTAATGGCAAGCAGTATTTCATTTGTCTTCAATTTTTTATTCAAGTTGTTGCAACTGCTTTTTTTTTGTTGGGGAGGGAAACTACATTCCTCCCCACAGCCACACCCCTGAGTTCCTAGGCAAACATAGGGAAGATGAAATCCTTTCTGGCCCATAAATACTTTGAAACATTTATTAACCTCATAATGTCCACTGGCAATATGGGGTCAGTTGACATGAACCTTGAAGTCTTGATCAATGTGTTAAATATTCACAAAGTTACACAGTCTCAAACCCTTCCACACTGCAAGGCCTTTTCCCACCTCAGCCACCGTCCTTTCTTTCTACCATTAACTGTAAAACCCTCATCCTATGAAAAGCACTGTGACCTTTTTCAAGAAAAAATATGAGAAGAAAATCTGAAAATGAGAATTTTCTACCTCATTGGTAGTTACTTATTCTTGGGAATGCACTCTGCGTTCCTTATCAATGGTGCTATCAGTTACTCTGTAAAGATTCCACATTCCTTTGGTACCAAAATTTTAGCTCCAGAAGAAACCACCTCAAATGGCATGTAGCAGATGTGGGAATAACAATTCCTATCTTCCCAAATAGATTTGTTTTTTATGGACCCTCTCTTTCTTGTAGGAAACTGTAGAATGACTATAGCAAGTTTTAAAGTTTGACATCTTCAAGTTGGATTTCAGTAATATCATTTTGTTATTCTGTTCACTCCTCCAAATACAGTTTCATTCACCAACAGCATAAAGATAATTTTCTAGAAACAGAGAAAGTGAACACATAGAAAGGGCATGATCCCTGCTCTCAAGGGAATTATATTCCGTTGGAGAAGGCAAACTTGCATATGGCTGGCCCAGCTCTTACAGAAACTTTGTGTGAATTTGCAAAATCAGTGCCTACTCCAGACGGATGAAAAAAGTTTGCTGAACATATGGCCCATTCATACAAATTAGAAAATGTGTCCCTTACGCAGGATGCAGCCTCGTGCTGGGAGAACCTTGCCCTCTTCAGGACACCCCCTTGCAAGGCGTAATCTTTGCTAGTGTACATGGTTTCTTGGAACATGCCCACTAATTTCTATAACACAGATAGACTGTGACAATTTTTCGAATAGAAGGAAGAATATATTTCCTTATTATAGTAGAGACAGGGATAACTGATTGATAGAGAATTTGGTCAAGAAAGATGAGTAGAAATTTGCCAGTAAAACAAAGAGGTTGGGCAGGGGAGAGGTGTGCTCATGAAAAGATTCTAAGAAAATGAGGCAATCCAGCTAAGCATGAAATTTTATGGACAGTCAAATTGCTGACTCTGAGAATAGTGTATTAGAAGTGATGGAAAATGGGTTGGATGGATAAATTGGATTGATATTGAGTAGGGCAATGAATTTAAATTGAATAAATTATTATTTTTATTATTATTGAAAGCAGGAACCCAATGGGAGGATAAGAAGTACCTGATTTCATCTTTGTTTTGAAAAGCATCTCTGGTGCCAAAACAGAGAGTATATTAAGGGCTGGAGACAGAAACCAGAGGCAGAAAATTTCACTAGGGACTTTTGCCATCTATCACCCGACTCCACACACCACCATTCCATACTGCTTTCTGCCTTTCCCTGTTTGATTCTGGAGAGGAATGCCAAGAACCACAGTCTGATTACTATCAGAAGAGACAGAAGTATTTGAAAAGCAATGGAGAGAGAAGAAATGATGATATTAGGGAAGAAGGAGGAAAAAGGAAGGAAGGGACAAGAAAGAACTGTAAAGATTAATACTCATATAAAGTTAGTCTTAATGAGAGTTTGGGTGACATTCACACTTGAGGGGAAGCAAGTTTTTATTCACTTGCAGATCAAACTGATGGGAAATTTTTTAATAGGAACTGTTCTGGAAAATGTGCTGATGAAAAAAAAAAGGAGAGAGATTGTTGATTTCACTGCCACAATGACTTCTAAAGCCTAGGCACAGCTTGCTGGTATTGGACAAGATGATGTCCCATGACATATCTATATTTTTATTAAACAATGTATTCATATCTTATGTCATTTAAATGTTTTGTTTTCTCGAAATATCTCTGGCATAACCTCTCAAGCTTGCAATTAAGATTGTGTTAAAATATCACTAAGAAAGTTGAACTTTCTGTCGGGGCATACAAACCTTTTTATGAGACTTTTTCTTACTCTCACTGAGTCTCCTAACCCATATCTCTGACTTAATTATTGTAAATTATTCTGCAAAAATATTATTTTGCAAGAACAGTGATTATTCTTACTGGCCAGGTTCACATTATAATTATGACAAAGTCAAATAGTCACCTATGATGATTAATGATCTCACTCTAGTGTATATTGTATAACATTTTAGAACTTTAATTTAACTCTCATGCACCTGTTCAGTCATCAAAATAATATAATATTACTCATCCAGTTCAAACAAATAAATTACAAAACATGGAAAGATTTCGATCAAGATAAAAGAATAAATAGAATTTAAGATCGACCAAAAAAAATGAATATTTTATGTCTAGGTCAATGCCCGTTTTGTTCTTTTTTCTTTTGTAAGATTGAGGTTATTCGTATGAGTATCTGGAGGCTGTCCATGACTTGTTCAAGGTTACCCAACTAACTAGTTGCAGACCTGGGATTAAAACTTTCCTGCTAATTTAGTGTTTTTGTCCCTCCTTTCTGGATAATTAACAGCTGATCTTATAAAGTTGCATTAACTGTGCTGTTTGAGGACTGCATTTAACTAGATACACAGGAGAAACAAAATATATTCTATAAGGATTTCTTAGAGTTGATAATAGACTTTGGCATCTTTCTGGAAAATACCATATAATTCCAATTAAGCACGCCAACTGGAAAATACAAAATTAACAGCAGGAAAGAACTTGTACAGATGACTGTAGAACAGCTCATAACGACAAGAGTCTGCTATGTGTCAGATAATTTCATTTTCCTTCTCATAACCTCTAGATTCAGAATATGAGGGGATTCTCAACCTTAAAACTGTTCTTTATGGCATTTTTGTTCCTTTTGTGGTCTATTTTTATTTCAAGAAAACTGGAGGGAAATAATTAGACTACACTACAGATTATGGCTCTCTTGAATAATGTTCTGACACGGGCAAAGCAGGCATTATTTTCAATTGAGTGATTTTTTTAAAAAAAGAACATTGAAAATGAACAAGTTAGACTAAATACTTTTTTGAGAGGTAGTAATATGTTATGTATGTAAGATGTAGAATTAAATGGAATTGAATGAAGTCTAAGATAATAATATTTTAACTTACTAATTAGTGGCTTGGAAGCTGTTTATAATTAATATTTGAGGAAAATATTCTGGCAAATAGCAGTTTTCTCCTTTCAAATTGACTCCTATGGGTTGGTAATCATTTTCATGGGGTAGACAAGCTATGTAGTTCAGTATTCATTCAGGCACACATTAAAAAAACAAGTAATTATGAAAACTCTATACTCACTGAATCTAATTGCTTATGAATACTATATTTTAGGTAGAACAACTGATTTTCAGATAAAAATGAAAGTAGAAAAAATGTTAAAGTAGAAGTAAAAATATGTATATATACTCTTTTCTTCAGTCTTTACTTTATAGAACTGATTAATTTATCCTCTACTTGAAAAATCATTGAAAATTTTATACACATTTGTATTGTTTACTCAGTTTCATTTATGGTGAAACACACACACACAAAAATCACATTTCAAATAGTTAGCTTGGATTTTTGTTTGCAAAGTACATGGCTGATTAAGGAAAAGTACTATACAAAAATTATATGTACTATCACAAGAAATGTTTTCATTTAAGTGCTAAACAATTTAAAACATTCAAACTTTTCTGCATTTCTTTTTTTTTTTTACCATGAACTATAGATAATTAATGAAATTTTATGGAAAATTATCAAATGAAAGTAGACCACCAAAAGAATTATAAACAAATCCCAATGGTGGAGATAATAAAGCAATATAAAAATTGATGTCACAATAAGAAATTGTTCATTCTTATATTGTTTACAGATTAATTTTTAATTTCTGCCATTTTACTTACTATCTATGATAATTATAATATTTTGGAATATGTATTTTTATTATGTGATCAATTTATTTTATATCATCTATGTGTACATTTCCTTCTCAAAGATATATTTGGAATAGTCTTTCAGTCATGCAGTTGATATTAAGACAGTGGGACACTTTAAACTCGGTACAATTTCAGCTTCAAAGCTAGGTTTGTTTCATTTTGGTTTTCAGGTAGTTAGTTAAATGCCTGCCACAGGCCCATTCTGGTATAGGATTCTCCATTGTATCTAAATTTGCCACCCTTCATTTTCGTTATTCCTCTCAAGTCTTGACTTCATCCCAGATCTTTTGAGTCGGATCTGCATTTTCACAATATCGTCAGGTGGTTTATGTATACATGAAATTTTGGGAAGGACTGCTCTCAAAGAATTTAAACAGATCTCTTATGTGCCTGGTAAGTGCCAGGCAAAGGGCTACCTTCCTTCCTAACATGTTACCTCATGTAATCTTCACTGCATCCTTTCTATTATTCTACTACTTAAGGTATAGAGATTTCAAAAAAGCTTTTATTTTGGAAAATATAAAATACACATGGAGGAAAGGAAAAATAGTTTTGTCTGTATTCTTCATAATCCTTAATTGAGACAGATCCCTGTATACAAAAGAAAAACAAACAGAAGTTTAACAACATATATTTTATATATACGTGGGAGATATCCAGGGAATGCATAGTTCTTCAAGAGGTGGCTTTGAATTCCAGCTTATATAGCATCTTCAACAAAGAACCCTCAATTTTTAGAGAAGTGACAAGACAAAGGAAAAGGACTTTGAGTCTCTAGGAGAGGCAAACTGTGGGGAGGCAAATAAATGGGAGTTTGTTATGTAGATTACTCTGGTGACTTCTTGGGGCTGAGAAGGTCCAAATTTGTCTTCAGTGATCAGCAGTTGTCCTTCCTGGTAGAGAAGGGAGGAGGATACCTTTGTAAATTTATATCCTGCTTTTAGGCAAATGGGGAAGGACAAAGAGCTTCTCTTGTTTCTGCTTCTTCTCAATTGCCTTTAGCTCAAAATAGCCCTTAAGCAAATAAAGCATAATTTAGGTTGGCATATTCTGGTCTCCTACACATGCAACTGTAGAGATAAAACTATAATAAATCTCCCCTGTACCCTTCACCCAACTTCAACAGTGCATGGTCAAATATATTTTATCATTATAATGAAGTTAATCCCAATCATCACATAATTTCATTCGTAAAAAATTGTCTCCACAACAAAAGCTTTCCTTTTTTGACAGTGCCATTGATACCATTACTACCAAAAATATTGTAAAATTTTTTAATATTATCAAATATCCAGGCAGTGATCAAATTTCTCTGTTTGTCTCATGATTGTGTGTTTTTTTTTCCTTGTCATTTCATTTTAAGTTTCTTTGAATCAGGAACTAAGTAAGGTTCATCCATTGTGATTGTACGATATGCTTTTTTAGATTGCGTCTCTCCCCCCCTTCATTTAAACTCCAGGTTCCTAAAATAAAGGTATTGTTCATCACATTTTGTAGAGGAGGAAACTGGACCTCAGAGATTTAGTAAACTTGCTTGAGGCTTAGGCACTAATAAATAAGTGTCAGTTAAAACCAGACAAGTTGAACCTGCACGTCTTTCACTGCATCACGTTGCTGTCCTTGCATCGTCCCCACTATCATTTTTGCTCTCTCTGTTTAGCCCTTTGTACTTCTTGCCTAATTATTTGTTCTATAAGATTTTTAGACCATCACATGCCGATTTCAGAAGCCCACACTTTAAAATATAGACTCTTGGGGACTTAGACACCTTGCAAAACTGATGTCACTCCCCTCCAATAATAAGCTACAGGATTAAGGAAAACACTTCCTTCTTGCTTGTTTGTTTTAAGATAGCAGTTTCCCAAGGATATTTCTAGCTATAAAGTTCAACTTCTGTCAGTGTGATCCTTGTGTTCTGTTTGCATGCAAACTTTCCCTCACACTATGGTAAGGCTATATTTAAGCCTTACCTTTGTCCACCCATTTAAAGCTTATGTTGCTTAGAAAAGCACAGTTCATGGAAGTTCTCACAGCATGAAGATTTTCCTTACAGCATAAATATTTATCATACTTTTATGCGCTTTTAAATTTAATATCATCGTGTGCTTGTATTTTAGATTGGAGAATTTATATACGTTGTGGAAGGAAAAGGTCTGATCCCCTTGCCATCCAGTTTCCTTCCAATGAATTCTTCGACTCCAATTGAATACAGCACTACTCCAGAAGGAGGTAGGGTATACTTAAGTTTTATTTCATTTATAATGCTGAAGAATGGGACTATTCCTCATCTAGTCACCTAAGCATCCTTATAGCAAGTTTGTCCAGTATGTAATTAGATTTTGGAAGGCCCCCTTTTAATTTATTATGTCAGTATCCATGTAAAAACCCACCATTTTACCAATTAAAAAATCAATGGTAATTATTTTTTAAAGCTTTCTTTTTCAATCTTCATAAGAATAATGGAATTTAGCAAACAAAATATTTACTCAGCAATACTTTCCATTTCTTAAACAATTTAGAAATCACTACACCCTCAAAAATCTATTTATTATTATAGAACCTGGAACTCTGCCCTGCCCTCTAGTTCTTGATCATTGACCCTTAAATAATAAAGCATTAAAGTGTAAGGTTGTTAGTGAAAGAAAATGGCAATTTTTGCCCCTCCTTTACAGATGTCTTTTTTTTTTTTTTACATTTACTTCTACTCCACCTACCTTTTTATCACTGATAGGAGCACAACGGTCACCGAATTTTTGAGCATGTTGATGATGTTTTTATGAAAGAACATTTTGACTAGAACTCTTCTTAGAGAATACCAGTAAACTAATTTTAATTTCTGAAGACTTATTCTTTACTCACTGAATTGGAACTTGTAGAAATGTATTACCCATCTATTTTTACTGTGTTTAATGCAGGCCGTAACTGCAGTTTTAGATTTCCAACCTCCCAAGTCCATCCTGGATAACAACGTCATGGGCATAAATTGTTCATTGCATTCATATTTTTGCTTCCCTTAGTGTTGAATAAGGAAGATCCAGTTCTGTATTTGACATGTAAACCCCATCAAACCCTGGAAGTGGACCTTAAATTGCCAGTAACTAATGAAGCCAAAGAAAAAGCTTTGGCTTTTGCAGCGCAGCAACAGATGTCAAATACTGAGTATGAACGAAGGTTGATCACAGGCACTCTGGAGAGCAGTAGTATCCGTGTGGCCATCGCCCTCCTGGGACTGACCGAAATCGAGGTGGGAATAGAGAACAGATGATGCACTTAATATTACTCTCTCTTTAAAAATACATAGAGCTGTTACTATTTAATCATAGCAACACTTTTACATTGCAAAACGATGAATATGTTTTTTTCTCCCAGAAGACAGCTCAGTAGCACTTTTTTTCATTTTTCTTTTGACCTCATTAAATAATAAATCTGGAACAATGCAGTCTACAATGTAATGTTAGGCATTGCAGTGTACTTGTTAATTCATAGTAGTCATTGATTCTGGCTGCAGGTTAGAATGCCCTGAAGTACTTAAAATAACACCAGTGCCCAGCCCCATTCCAGAACAATTTAATATGAACCTCTTGAAGGCGGTGGGTGGGAACATGTTCTAGAAGTTGCCCAGGATATTCTGCTGTTATCCAGAGAGGATCATCTCTGGTGTCAGATTACCAGGCTGAGTGTGCAGACTCTAACACTGTCTAGCTATGTGACTCTGGGCTGGTTGCTTAAACCTCCTCAAGCTTCAATTTTTATATTTTTAATATATAGGTATTGGTAATTTATGAAAACTGAGATAATGATATAAAATTGTTACCTGGTATATATCAAGTGCTCTCTTTATGCATGGTATTGTGATTGTTGTTGTTATTATTATCACTGCTACCACTATTACTATGGACTCTATAGCTTGAAATAAGGTATGGTCTATTCTCACAGAGCAGCCCAGGTGATTCTTCTAAATGCAAACACGCTCATGTTGCTCCTCCGTGCAGATTCCTCTAACGACTTTCCAGCTGATGTTGGATAAAAGCCATCATCCTTAGGATGGTCTACATGACCTTCCTAGATAGCCCCACCTCCTCTCCTGATCTCCACTCCTCCACTGGAGTCATCCCCTCACTCCACTCCCAGGGAACTGGCCTCCTTGCTGTTCTTTGAACACGCCAGGCACACTCCCCATGGCTTTTGAACTTCCTCTGTTACTTTTCCCTAGACATTAAAGGGCTACCTCCCTCAATCACTTCAGATCTCTGCTAAAATGCTATCAGAGAGGTTCTGCTTTACTAACTTATATACATTTGTATATAATTATTTTTATTCTTGTTTTTTAAGGTCTATCTCCATTTATATATATTACAACAAAAAACTGGCATTGTAGGGATTTCTTTTTTTATTTATCAGAATGCTAGAAGCAATACAGCCTAAGCACAGATTTCTAACAATGAATGATGGTATTTTAAAGATGACTTACATTTTTAAGTTCTGATCAGCTCAACAATGTTAAAGCCTGAGGGTTCGACACTCTCTTGACTAACCCATCCATAATGTGCTTCTCAGAAACTGATGATTCTCTTCAGCTTCAACCAGAACCCTTACTTCAGAACAATGAATTTGGGAAAACTTATGCTTGGTACACTATTACAAAAAAAATTTTCAATGAGTGGCCATTTCAAAATTTAAGCTTATCATAGCTCTTTCTCCCACTTTTTCCCTTTAAATTTATTTTCTTCATTATTATCTCTTGTAAAAAGATTTTATTTAAATAAAAAATTATTGAGGGAAGTGGATTTTGTCTATGGACACCCTTTTTTTGTGTATGCATGTATATAGATTCTGTCTTTCTCTGTCTTATTTTAGCTTTCTTCCTATAACCCAGCCCACCTTTTGTGTTCATTATTGCATTTAATAAATTGTGTTTTGTATTACATTTACTTTTATGTTTACCTGTTACTCCCATCAGACTGTGAATTCCTAGACATCTAAAGGACTTTTCTTATGTGCTTTTGTTTATTCCTCAACATCTTACGCATGATATATGCCCTGTCATTGCTTAGTTGAATTGAAAATATGGGTGTACAAGCAAATGTCATTTTTAAACTGCTTCACTTACACTTGGAGAGCTGAGTTTATCATCAGTGTCTCATTGTAGGGAGGACAGTATTGAACTAGATGTTGTCTAGAGGAGCATATGTGTGGGGGCGAGTTGTTGTAACCCACATTATATGAGTAATGATTGAAGGAACTAAAAATATCAAAGCTAGGTAAGGATTTTTGAATATCCATGAAGGGGAAGAACCTAGTTGTTTTTATAAATTCACAAAATTGTCATTAATAACAAGGGGGCCTCAGTTTCTGCTACTGATGAGACCCATATCTGATGGGTAGATGTGAAGAAGTACAGGTTTCACCTCAAGGAGGGAAGCACTTTCTCAATGCTGTTCAGCAGGTTTCATCATGAGGCAATTAACACCTCAACACCAAAAGCATTAGAACAGGGGACATTGCCAATCTCTCAATAAAGGATGACCCCACTGGTTCTGTGAAATGTGAATTTTTTCCCAAATGTTTGATCTAAATACGTAATGCTATCTTTTGTGTTTTGGAGGTAAAAGTTAAGAGAATTACATTTCTGGTTTTACTGTTTATTTGCGGTCTCTTATGCTCTTTCAGATCTCAAATTTGAAGAAGCCTAAGTCCATTTTATATACAACGGAAGTGAGCCTTCCAGATCACTTCAGTATCCCCAAGATAATCTATATTCCTCAGATCCCAGAAACTGAAGCAGAATTGACTCCCTATCAAGGAATTAAACCTGCAGACAACACAGGTAATTATCAATGTGTGCACTGTTGCAGGAATTGTGAAGTATTGTCTTCACAGTTAGAAGCAGCACTTTTACTGACAAGGTTTTCGTAATGAAGTTGAAGAGATAGCTCAGCTACAGAAATACCAATTATCAAATGATGTTTTTCAGTATAAATAACCAACATGTTACATCATAGTAATCTAACTTATGTACTGAATTTGGGTGCTAAATTACTGGTACTGAAATTTGCAGACCTGTCTTTGTTAAAGAGTAGTTATCTGAAAAGGCAAGAAGTGCACTTTGAGGAAGGTGAGCTCTTCTTGAAAGTAAACTTGGTTATAGAAGTTGTAATTGAGCTGAGGCTCAGACTGAGTCTAAAGAATAGGAGGGATGTTGACGGCTAGAGTATTTCAGAGGAGAAGAACGTGTCATTCAAGCGTTATTTATCTTTGATTGGTCTTTATTAGTTGAGTACTTACTGCTGGTCTCCTGGTGCCCCTTTATTCTGTTGTGATTAGGAAGGTATAGGCCAGATTTACTATGAATATCGGTACACTAATATTATTAAATACAAGTAGTAAGATGTAAACAATGTGACTAAATATTTTTAACTATTCAAAATTACCTGTTTTGATTTTTTTTTTCCATTTCAGTTCTTTTCAAGCTGCTTGATAATAATAGGAATATGATTTGTTCACTAGGGCTATTCCCAGGATGTACTGTAAATCCAATATTATGAATTTTAAGTTATGCTTTTGCTAAATTTGATTTTGTTAAATTTTCATTTGTTATTCTCCTATGGATTTACACTAACCGTAAAATATTTCTAAGTCTGAAAGGATTGTTACAAATTGAGTTACAGGGTGATCTGTTTACTAGGAGACCTGAGATTTCAGATGCAAATGCTAAGTGGCCAAGCAGGTAGCAAGGATTAAAACTTATGGATAGGAGGAGCTTTATCGGCCTTTTAAATAGGCATAGTTAAGCAGGAAACCTCCAGTGGATCCAGTAGTGCTTATCCAAATCGCCTCCTATATGTTCTGCGCCACTCGTGTGAAATGTTTACCAAAGCACAAAAACAAAATGCTCTGGGCTAGTTTTACCGATCACTTACCCAGAGCTCAAAACCCTCATTCCTAAAGGTTATCATTTCAGTTTCTAGTATTTTGTATTGATCCCAAGTGATGCATGGCAGACATATGGGAGGTGTGTATTGTGGGAGCACCGTTATCCTTCTCTCCCTTCTCCTACTACATTCCAGATTCCCTAATCTTTTATTCTTTTTCTTTTAAGTGGTTTGTTTGTTTGTTTGTTTAACAGCTGGACAGAAAAGGGACCCAAACTCTTGACCTTGGTGTTATAACACTGACTTCTAAACAACTGAGCTAACTGGCCAGCCTCCCTAATTTTCTAATATTCACTAAGAATTAGCAGTTTTATCTGTGACTGAAATAGCCAATAAATACTTTCATGACAGCTGTTTAATATGTAATGCAATTGTGAACATATAATAAAGATTTATTAGTAGTAACTAATACTATATATAGTTTACCCATTTTACAAAGATTAAATACGTTCTTTTGTTTGTTTGTTTTGTTTGTTTTTAATCAGTATTATTTTAATTAACAAATCATACCATAACTATATATATTTGTGGAATACAATATGATGTTTTGATATATTTCAACAACATATAATGATTAAACCAAGCTAATTGACATATACATCACCTTGCTAGCTTATCATTTTTGTGGTGAGACATTTTAAATTTACTCTCTTAATTATTTTGAAATACATGAGTACAATACGTTATTATTGACTTCACCCTGCTGTGCAATACATCTCCAAATGAATTCCTCCTCTCTATCTGAAACTTTGTACCTTTTGACCAACTCCCGTTCCTTCTCTCAACGCCCCCAGCCTCTGGAAACCGTCATTCTATTACTTCTATGAATTCAACATTTTTAGATGCTACATACAGTAGTCACCCCTTATCCACAGTTTTTTTTTTTTTTTTTTGAAGTTCTTACAACAAGAAAATGGAGGGGACACATCTGGGTGGGAGGGGGAAGAGGGAGGAGGGAGGGAGGTTTTGGTGATGGAACACAATACCTAACTACATTGTATATTGACAAAATAAAAATAATAAAATAATAAAATAAATAAATTTTTTAAAAAAGAAATTTAACAAATGTTATTAAATATAGAAATTACCCAATTCAATTCTCTTCTAATTTTAATGGCTCAATTAAAAAATATTTACATCATTAAAAAAAAATTTAAATAAATAAATAAATAAATAAATACGTTCTTTTAATAGCTAAATTATCCTTCAGCCTGAAAGCAAGACTGAAAAATTGTTATGATAAAAATGAAACTAAACACCTACTTAAAATTTATTAAAAATACTTTGAAAAATAAGCCGTACATCTCTGTTATATCAAAAAACCACAAATGCATTTCAAATACATACAATAAAAAATTAGTTTATTTAACAGAATATAAATGTAAATGTCAGTTTTAATGACTTAAAATGACTTTAATTGAAGCAAATCTACTCTATTGTCAACAATACCAAGAGCTACCTAATATTAAAAGTGTGCGTTGATTAGTTTTTATCAAAATGCCAAGGGTTAAGCTTGTGTTATTAATATATTTTTAACATTTGTTTTTTGGCAAACATTGTTGAAATTTGCAAAAACTTTTTGAAATAAAATTTCTTAATTCACTTAGAAATATAATTCGTGTGGATCTTTCAGGTAGGATTGCCACAATACTAAACTATCATTTCCAATTATACTCTATAAAAGAATGTGATTCGATTCTGAAAGGAAATCAACAATACATATATACTACATTTAAGCCTTGTGAGATAAAAATATGGCAAAAACAAAAAGTAGGAAAAGCAGGTAATATACAGCTCTGTAACTTATCTTTAAATTTACATTTAATACCAAATGTAATAGGTTTTATTACTGTGTAGCTTCTGAGAAAAGTTGTAAACATAATCAGAAAGAATAATATTTGTCATTTGAATTTACATTGAATGAAAAAATAAAAGGATATTTACCTTTACATATGCTCAAAACTTTATTCCTCTATTTATGTATTTAATTTAAACTTTATTGAGATATCATTTATATACCATACAATTCACCAATTTAAAGTGCACAATTTAATGGTTTTTAGTATATTCGTAGATATGGGTAGCCATCACCACAGTCAACTTTAGAACATTTTCATCACCTCAAAAAGAAACTCAGTACCCTTTAGATATCATCCCCACCATTATCCATTGCTCTCTCCAGCCCTAAGCAGTTACTAATCTAACGTCTTTCTCTATAGACGTGCCTGTTCTAGATATTTCATATATAATTAATTATATAATATGTGTTATTTTGTGACTGGCTTCTTTTACTTAGCATGATATTTTCAAGGTTCATCCATGTTGTATTATATATTAGTATGTCATTCTTTTTAACAGCCAAATAATATTCCATTGTATGACTATACCAAACTTTATTGATCTTTTCATCAGTTGATGGACATTTGGGTTGTTTCTACCTTTTTGCTACCATGAGTAATGCTGCCATAAATATTTGTGTTAAAGTTTTCATGTGGACATTATGTTTTTACTTATCTTGGGTATATATATGGTAGTTGCCCTGTCTTACATTCCCACCAGCACAGTATGAGGGTTCCAGATACTCCACGTCATAAGCAACTCCTGTTATTATGTGACTTTTTTATTCTAGTCATTCTAGTGGGTGGAAGTGGTATCTCACAGTGGTTTTGATTTGCATTCTCTGAAGACTAACGATGTTGAACATCTTTCCACGAATTTATTCGTCATTTGTAAATCCTATTTGTATAAATGTCTATTCAGATCATTTGCCCATTTTATTTTTATTTTTTTTATTTTGTCAATATACAATGTAGTTAGTTATTGTGTCCCATC